AATTGGTGTATAAGTTTTTGTGTGAACATACACTGTCATTTCTCTTGTGCTTATACCTGGGAGTGGAACTGCTGAGTAATATGGTAAAAATAGGTCTAATCATTTGAGGAAATGCCAGACTACATTCTAAAATGTCTGCAGCATTTATATTATCACCAGTGGCATATGAAAATTCCAATTTCATCACAATTACCAAGCTCACTTTTATGTCTTTTTGATTATTGTCATCCTTGTGTATGTGACATGGTATCATGTTGTGATTTGGATTTGTATTCCTCTAATGACTGGATATGTTGAGCATCTTTCATGTGCTGACCATTTGTGTATCTTCTGTGGTGAAATGTCTCTTCAAGTCCTTTTCCCATTTTTTGATTGGATTGCTTGGTTTTTTTGTTGTTAGAGTTCTTCACATATTCTCTGTATGAATCACTCATCAGATATACAATTAGAAACTATTTTCTCCCATTCTGTAGGTTGCCTTTCCATGCTCATGATAGTAATTTTTGACATACAAGTATAATTTGAAAAAGTCCAATTTATATAGTTTCTTATGCTTTGGGTGCCAATCTAACAAAGCATTGCCTTTCCACACTCATAAGAATTTGCACTTCTGTTCTAATAATTTTTTAATTTCAGTTCTTACATTTGTGTGTTTAACCAAAACTTAGGTAATTTTAATATGTGGTATGAGGTAAATATAACATGTCCTTCCATTGATTTAGGTCTTCTTTAATTTTTTTAAAATGTTTTATAGTTTTTGTAGTATAGTTTTAATATTCTGTCATGAAATGTTTTCTAAATATATTATTCCTTTTGATAGAGTGGAATTGTTTTCTTAATTTTATTTTTAGATTGCTCATTACTAGTATATAGAAATACTATTGGTTTTTGGATGTTGACCTTGTGCATTGCAACTTTGCAAAAAGTGTTCATTACTTCTAATAACTTTTCGGTGCATTACTCAGGATTTTCTACACATAAGATGATGACCTCCATAAAATATCTAGTTTTTCTTTTTTATGTTTTCTAGTCTGAATACTTTAATGTCATATTCTTGAATAATTTCCCTAACTAGAACTTCAAGTACAATGTCAAATAGAAGTGGTAAAAGTTCACATTCTCATCCTGTTACTGATCTTATGGGGAAAGTATTCAGTCGTTCAGCATAGGATACAGCCTTTGGCAGGTGCATAGTCACCCGGAGCTGACAATGATTTTAGCAGATTTTTTTGACCGTCTCTTTCACCGATCTCTCCGTCTGCCTTTGTTGATATCTCATCCAACTGTTAGACCCTACTAACTGTAGGCTGATTGCTCTATTGTTCTTGACAATGTCCTGGGGAATAAACCTCTCTACAGTCTGATCCAGTTTAATTAAGGCCATTTTTAAGGAATAGTTTTTGAGGCCAGTCTTTGACCAATATACCAACCTCAGGAAGGCTTTTCTTTTCAATGTTTTTGTAAATAAGCCTGTTCTTCTACAGAAAGGGAGGCTTTTCTTAGACTTTTCTTAGACTTTCCTTGGTTATCGCTGCCTATGTTTAGGACTGTCGGTTTCATAGTACATACCACCAACATTCTCTTAACAGCTTATTCTTGAAATCTCCATAGTTTTCAAGAGAATCCTCCTTAGGCTTGAATTTCTTTGATCAAATAAATCAGCCTCTTTGCAAAGAGCTCTCTGTTCTTCTGACATTTATCTTTTTCCTGGACAATATCTCTGGGCCATTTATATGTAGCTATGAGCAGGGACAATGGTTCAATGCTCTCAGAGTAACTCCCCTGCTCCATGAGTAAGCTCCAGGAGAAAAAGAGAGTAGTACCCTCTGGTTTCTTGGCTTGCATATCCTACCAGGAATGTCTACCCTGCTAGCAAGCTGGGATGACAGCAACTGATAGATTCTCCAGTATTCTTGGCCTGCTCCAGCTGGGGTAGTGCCTCTGTTCTATAGGTATGGGCTGAGAAGAGAAAGGGAGAACCAATGTCTTGGGCACATTTTTCTAAAATTTAGCCTCTGCAATATAGAGCTGAGAGGAATGAAAACTGCAGGCAGCCTGCCCTTCTGGAGACAAACCACAGCCTTTAGCTGAGAGCTGGGGCAACAAGGAGCCTGGTGTTCCTGGTCACTCCCACTAACAGCCAGTTGTCCATGATACTGAGCTCAGATGGTGAGGTCATGGCTCAATTGCCACACACTCTTACTGGTCTTACCAAGAATCAGCAAATTTTCTGAAATAATTTTTTTCTTGTACTTTTCCAGATGAATTTAAAACAAGATCCATAGACTTTATAATGGGTTTGTTTTTTTTAATAGTTTTTACCAGCTGCTGTTCTTTTGCTGGACAGCAGTTCTACAGAGCTCATCATGCCACCATGCAGGAAGGCACACATTTTTTATATGCTCTTTAGAAGTTAAAACCTCTCTATTCCCTAGCCACATTTTTCATGATATCTTACACATAACGAATACTTATTTAATATTTTCTGGATTGAAAAATATTTTCCATTTCTCATTCCTGCATCGAACATCTAATAGCGATGTTGATACTAATATGAGCAATTCTGCAATATTTGTGGGAGATTCATTTTGATCTTACCTTAAAGAGAGAGAATGGCGAAGAAGAGCCTTCATATGATTCATGTCATATAATCAGAGTATCTCAAGACATTGTTGTAATTCCGCACTCTTTTCCCCAATTAATTAATGCATACAGAGAAGTATTTCCAAGAAAATATATTTTCCATTTTTTCTCCTCAAGCCCTCTAAAAGGATGATCATCATGTCAAGTTTTATTTTTTTCTAATCTTTTTACCAGTGTAATTTAATAAGTAGATTATGGTTCTACTCT